TCAGCTAAGCGAAGGAGCCGGGTGGGCTGGGGTTCCGTGGTCCACGTGAGGGAACAGCGTGTGCAGACGACTGAAGGTGGAAGGGACTGGTGCGCGTGAGAAAGGCTCACGGGGCCGAGGGAGAGAGGCATGAGGATTTGCAGAGGCAGGAAGGGGCCTGATGAGCAGCAGGGCCCCGAGGGCCCTCCTTTCTCTGAAGGAGTTTGGATTTTATTTGAGATGCGGCGGGGATCCAGCCACTGGAGGTTTTAAGCAGGGGTAACACGAGCTGGTGTCTGTTGTAGGAAGCTCTCTGGCTGCTGGGTGGAGACTGGGTGGTAGAAGAGAAGATGGGACCCAGGGAGACCAGAGGAGAGGCGAGGGAGCCCGCTGCAGTCTGGACTGGTGAGAGCAGGAGAGGGAGGATCTGTGAAACATGCTTCAGAGCTGGGAGTGACGGAACTTGTGAATGGGTTGGAACGTGGGTGGGAAATATTAGTATCTATTTTTTTATCTATTGGTCTTTTGGCCTCTCTCCCCTACTAGAATGTAAGCTCCATGAGGGCAAGGATGCTGTTGGTCTTGTTCTCTGTCGGTCCCCAGACACAGTATAGGTATTTAAAAAGACTTAGTGCATGGTGACTGAGGAATTAAGGAAGGAGAGGGCAGGATTAACGATGATACCCCCGTTTCTGGTTCAGCTGCAGGGTGGATGGTGGTGGCATGCAGAGAGGGGAGGATCAGTCAGGCAGAGCGGTGATCAAAGCCCAGAGTCAGGGAAGTGGTGGAGGTGCCTGTGAGGGGCCTGGCAGGCAGCGCAAGTGAGCATGGAGAGCATGAGGGGAAGGGGCTGTCTATTTGGGTCACTGTTGCACACCCAGCATGTAGAGCAGTGCCTGGAATAGAGAAGAGGCTCAATACTTGTTTGTTGAATGAATGAATGACTGGAGTTGAGAGAAGAGTTCTGGGCTGGAGCTATAAATGTGGCTGTCACCAGTGCCTGGAAGTTCAAGGCTGTGGGAGTGGATGAGGTCACCTAGGGAAGAGTGTATGGAGAGAGAGAGGAAGGGAACCCCCCCCCCCAACCCCCACTAGCTACCCTCTCTCCTCAAACCAGGTATTGTCGATTTAGGAAACAGGGACCTGAGCTCAGCAAAAAGCAGAGTCCTGCAGTTTCGGGAGACTCTTACGGAGCAGCCCGAGAAGCAGGAAATATGGCAGAGGGCAGGGGCTGGCCCCACAGCCCTGTGGGGAAAGAAGGAGAGGCTTCCAGCCCCAACATCAGAGGCCTCCGACCCCTCTGACCTGGAGCCCCAGCCCTCCTCCTGGCTCCCTCTCCTCAGCCTGTGACGCTGTGGTCAGGCCCAACTGAGGCTGCCCAGGAGGGGGCGGGTCCTGGAGTCCCTGGCAGCCCTTGCTGGCCTCTAGAGCAACCCACGCTGCCTGGGGCATGGGTGTGGTTACCACAGCCCCAGGGGACTCAGCTAGCTCCTGTGCCACCTGTGTGCGCATCCCAGGATGTCCGCGCCCAAGGGCCTGGGGCTGGGAGACGAAGGCCTCTGCTCGCTGTAACAATGCTGCCAGGGCCGGGAGGCTGCAGGAGCAGGCGCTGGGCACACGATGTCAACCCAAGCCCAGGTACCCCCTGAGTCACTGCAGACATCACACACGCCGGCCCCTGCCCTGGCACACACACCCATGACTGGCTGGGGAGAGGCCGACGGGAAGCCTAGCAGGGAATTCCACTCCAGAGTCAAGGACTTTGAGGAAAATCATGCCGGGAGAGAGCTGATCTGAGTCCTGTTCAGAAGACCTGCCGCCAGCATGACCTAGCTCGTCGGCCCCAGGTGGGTCAGAACATCTTAGAACTGGAAGACATCTTCTAATGGAACCTGCTATGCTGAGCAGAAATTCTTCCCACAAACCCCTGGCCCGTGGTCAGCCAGTGTCTTTGCAAACTTCCAGGGATGTGGACTCCACCACCGCAGGGCAGCCTGTTCCTATTTGGCAGCTTTGTCAGAGAACCTCTCTTTCTCAAAGGGCCTGGAAGGATCCAACACCAGAGGGTGACAGTGTCACCTCCGAGGAGGAGAGTTGATGGAGGGAGGGGGATGGGGCTTCCCCATTGATTTGGTATGGGATGTTTGCCAAACCGTGTGCTAAATTTGTAATGCTAAGAACAAAAAGTAGGGTTCTCCTTTATCTGAACCAAATCTGCCTTCCTAACATTTCCACCTACTGCTCCCAGGTCTGCTCTCTGGGATCAGAGTCTAACCCCACTTCCCCTCGGGTGCCCTTCGAATACCTGAAGGCGGGGATCACATCCCCACCGTGTCCTCCTCTGGGCTGAGCTGCTCCTCCTTTAACTTGGTTTCCAGACCAGTCCCCCCAGCAGTCCCCCCTTCTGAGCGTCAGACAGTAAAGCTCAGGGGGTTGCAGAAGGAAGGAACCAGTCACTCCCCAAGTTAGGTGTCACCTCATGCTCGTTAGTTAATGTGTGTGTGTGTGTGCATGTGTGTGTGGGAGGGCATGTTCAAATCACTCGCTTCCTCAAGCCTTGGTTTTCTCATCTATAAAAGTGGAAAACAGTACCTTTGCTATGAGAATCAATTGAGATCAAGGAAATGAAAAACATTAAAAAGCACAAATTCCTACCCTAGGGGTTATAACTTAGAAGCCCCCTTCCGTTTGGTAGTAGCTAAGTGTTGGGCTCACAGAGCCAGACTGCTGGGGTTCAAATCCCGGCTTTGCCACTGACGGGCTGTGTGACCTTGGAGAAATGACTTGACATTGCTGTGCTGCAGTTCTCCCCTCTGTGAAACAAAGAGGGTGATAACACCAATCTCGGACTCCATGTTTAGGCGCATTCGATGTATTGCCTAGCACTCAATAAATATTAGCTATTTGATATTGTCACCCCGACTTTTCCTCCTTCACAGGCAGAGAAGGGCTTCGCTGAAACGAGGCTAATTCATAGCACCTGTTTGAAAGGTGAGGCCATCAAACCAAACCAGTCATCTGTTATTGGAGCGAGTTGCTCCACGGTTTACCCCCCTGCCCCCCAAAATTTGTAAGCAATGTTTTGTGCTAGGCATGTGCTAAGGGCTTTATAGGCCCTGCCTCACTGAATTCTCCTAACACCCCCACGAGGGAGACACTATCATTACTCCCATTTTACAGATGAGGAAATAGAGGTTCACACAGATGAAGTCACTTGCCCAAGGTCACACCACTAGGAAGTGCTGGAACCAGGACTCCAACTTGAGCCTGTCTGACTCTCAAAGTCAGTCTCCGTCAGCGCAGGGTCCCATTCTTTTAGCCAGCTCTCTGGTTTAGGCTCATTTCCAGCTCCAGGGACCAGAGGAAGCCAGAACCTTGTCTTCCTTGACGGCATTGCCTGATGTTTCTGCGAGGTGGGGAGGAGGAGCGGTCTCTTGCTTCTCTCACCAAGCCCCCTGCCCCTCTCCGGCTCCAGCGGTCTGATGGTGACCCTGGAGACCCCAGCTGCATCTCCTTGGGTCCCCTCAGGACCACCCTGGCATCTGGTACCCCTGGGCCGCTTGCTGGGTTTTTGACCCCTGACCATGAAATGGTTCCATGCTGATCTACAAAAAAAACAGCCATTTTGGACATGGGCCCTGATGCGTAATCTCATTAAGGAGCCAGCAGTGCATCTCAAACCATTATCGCCTGGCCAAGCTTCTCTGGGGCGAGCCTGGCTGCAAATGGCTTTCTCCCGTCTGGGGGGGGGGGGGGGCGCAGCCCTCCTTGCCCTCTGCCGCTGGAGGAGAGATTTTATCTTTAATTGACAACTGGCTGCCTGCCATCGCCTTGCCCCCGCTGGCCCAGGCTCCCAGGCCCATTTCTCTTCTGCTTCAGGAACAGGCTTCCCCTCGCTTCTTCTCTTCCCTCAGCCCTGCCATCCTCACCCCTGGTCCCCACTGGGCTCTGTCCTTTCTTGGTGTGACGGACAGGAGATCTCAGAGATCTGTGGAGAAAGGCCTGAGAGCTACAGGAACAGGGTGAGGTGGGAACTGACACTTAGTGTGCACCTACTGTATGTCACATGTAGAGAAACAGCCCTGGGCCAGGTCCTTCCACTCACTGTCTCTGAAATAGACTATCACTATCCCCAGCCTACAGACAGGGAACCTGAGGCTCGGTGAGTTGCCCCAAGATACCCAGCTAGTGTGTAGCAGATCCAGACTCTGCACTGAGGACATTGTGGCTCTATCATGCCTGGAGTGAGAGGAAGGAGTGAGAAATAAGAGAACGGAGGGCAAACACGTACCCAGACCTGCTGTACAATCCGCAAAGCCCGGTGCCCGGAGGAAACGCAGGGCCCCTTCTTGGATAATGACTAGTAATTTCAAGACGGCGACAGCTGAGCATTAAGTCAAGCGAGGGGCCTTTGTGAGCGACTGCACAGGTTGCACGCTCCTGAAGCCAGCCCTGTGTGTGCCCCCCTGTGGGTGTGAGACGGACCACGCGTGACTAGCACTCACCATTACCCAATCCTATCTGGGCCCAGGAGGGGTTCATTCCCCATCCCTAAGTGGTCCCAGTAGTGTCACCGGTCCCTTGTCGGCCTCAGTTCGTCAGCCATCCAGTCATCACAAGGACTTTGGCATCCCCAGGGCCTTGGCCCAAATAGAACTGGTGCAATTTCAGGGAGGAGGGGCGGGCCCCTGCACAAACAAGCAGGAATACAGTGGGATTCCTTAAACAAACAACAGTCTTTTCTTCCACGTTAGGGCTGGGGTCAGGTGGCGGCAGTGGCGATCAGGACATTGCTTGGGCATCAGGGGTCCCGGGCTAGCCCTCTGTGTGACCTTGGGCAGATTGCTGTTCCTCTCTGAGCATCAGAGTCTAGCTCTAAGTGCAGGGGTTGGGCTGCATGGATGACTCCTGGAGGGGTTGGGGTTAGGGCCGGAGTGTGTTGCATTTCTCCGGTGTTGGGGTGGACTCCTGGGGAGGTCCCCACAGACATAGAACTAGAAAGGAGAGGCAGAGACAGTCACTCACACAGCAGGAGCAGCGGCACGCTCCAGATGTCTTTATTGGGGCTCGAGCACAGCATGACAGTCAGAGGCATGCGGACAGGGCGGCAGGGCCAGCCCAGGCATGCCTCAGACACGCACGAGGGGACAGCTTTAGAAAAGGACTGACCAACACCAGGGAGGGGCAGGGCGGGGTGGGAATGGGGAGGGAGGGCCGAGGGAGGGGCAGAGGCCAAGGTCGAAGGGGTCCCCTGGCCTCTGCTATTGCACGCATCCTCTGGCCACTGGCCAGGAAGTACAGTATTGCAACTGGTCTCCACTCGCCCGAGGCTTCCCCTTCTCAGACCCCTGAGCCAGATGGACAGACAGACCCCTTCCCTGCCCGTCTGCCCAGCAGCATCTTTGAAAACAAATGAACGAAGGAGACAGAACAAAAAAATCAAAAACAAAAAAAGATGAAACGCCCCCTCAGTCAAGGACACAGGCAAGGTGGAGGAAGGAGTGGAAGAAGCTGCAGAGGAGCCCCTGGAAGTCCCCCCACAACTGGGGCGTGGGGTGGGAGGTAGAACCCCAATCTGGGGTGGGATGGGGCTAGTGGAGCAAGTGACCCTGGGGGGCAATCTGGCCTTCCATAGGCCACCGGCCCACAGGGGAAACGCCCCCAAGAGGGACAGTCTAGCCTGGGGTCACCCAGCTGGACCGGCAGATCCCAGGTGCACTTTTCCTAGGACATTCCTCACACACGTTCAGCAGACAAGGAATCAGTAAAGGGGAAGGGAATGGGGGTCTAGGGGTGGGGCAAGGACTTGGGGAGACACAGCCTAACAAAGAAGACAGACCACCAATAGCACGTGCACTACACACAAGAGTATAGTACGTATGAATATAGATACTATATGTGCATATATGTCTCTTCAATGTACAACAGAACAGAACATCAGACCCAGATGGCTCTGGGCCCCGGGGGTCACATGGGAGGTTTTCCATCAGTCCTGTGCAAACACAGATATCTGAGTCTTTCCCAGCGAAAGATTCTTGCCTGGGTTCCAGAGTTTCCCTAAGCCTTTGGCTTTCTGTCTGTCTGCCTGTCTCTCTCACGCTGGTGCCGCTTTAAGAGAGGGTGAGGACTTCAGCCTGGGCATAGTTGGACGAGAGGGCGTCTTGGCAGGTCTCTGTGTTTAAAGAGCACAGGTGTGAGACACTGGGACGCACGCTTTCGGCTCAACATTGCCTTCTCGGGGGGCAAGGAGTTCAGCAAAAGAAAGGGAGAAACAAAGAACAAGATGTTAGAAGGAAGGCAGCTGCCGACCCACAGGCTGTGGGCTAAGGAGCAGGCCAGGAGCAGAGCTGGAATGCATGGGGACCCAGGGCTAAGAGGCCAGGAAGAGCAGGGACAGGTCAGGGTATGGGGTGCGCCCCTTCATCACTCCTCTGCCAACCCAGAGCCTGGGCCAAGGTGACTCCTAGGTGATGTCACAGCTCATCTCCACACCTGCTCAGGTAATGAACCCAGGAATCACTAGCACTCAGGTCTCCAAAGCCCTAGTGCAGTGCGGGGAGGGACCACAGCTCTGCAGCGTGGCATGGAGGCAGGGTGGGGGCGTCATGGGAGGGAGAGGCTCCTGGTGTGACCTGTAGCCCACAGGCCATCACCTGAGCTGCTGCCTGCCCAACTTGGGTTCCCCCCATATTGCTCCATCTGCCATCACCACCTGGGGCTCTTCCCCTGTCCCTGGGGGCTGGTGAAGAAGCCTCTTGAGTGCTACCACGTGGTGCCCAGCCCCCCTTCCTCAATCTGGCAGCTGGAGGGTGAATGCTGAAGGGGAAGGTCAGGGAGGATGAATGTAGCCCTCTTAGGAGAGAAGGCCAGAAAATAGCATCTTTCTGAGAAACCCAACCCCTCCATGAGCTCTTCTCAGTATCCCATCCTCAGCCTGGGAGGTCAGCGGCCTGGCCCTTCCCTTCTCCCACCTTCCCAGCGGTGGCACAGGTAGGGCAGACAGGGCGGTTGCCGTGGGGAAGGTATTTCGGAGGTGATGCTGTCTGGCTAGGGCGGAGGAGGCCCTCCTGTCCCAGGCAGCTCTGGGAAAGGGCAGCCCCAGCCCTCCGGCTGGTACCCAGCCTCCCCACTGACCACAGTGCAGCTCACAGCCACTCCTCTCAGAAGCCCTGGGGACTGAGAAGTGGCCTCTAGGGTTGTCAGTAGCGCTGGCACAAACTGGAAGGTAGGGTTAACAACTCCTACCCAGGCTGCTTCCCAGCTCTGCGGGGACGGGCGGGCCCCAGTTGTGGGGGAAAGGCTTCTAAAAGCCAAAGTAATGGTACAGGTCCAAGTCTAGATGCAAGATAAAGCAAACTACACTCTCAGATTGTAGGTGGGCGGCAGGGCCTTCCCCAAGGAGGGAGGCCTGTGCAGACAGCCACCTCTCTGGGCAGAGCCTGGTACACAGTGGGTCTTTGTAAACTCCAGGACTCGGTTTGCCCTTTCCCAGAGCCCTGAGTGGTAGCTAGAGCAGCCTACTCAGCTCTCCTGTTAGCCAGGTCCTGTGTCTCCCTCACAGGAGCCAGAGAGCCGGGGTGGGCGGGGGGCGGGGACACACACACACACGTGTGGGAGCCCATCTCCAAAGCACTAGGGGCTCCAGGCTGGCACTCCTGCATCATGTCGCCCAGGGACATCTGTGCCCACCATAGGGGTGCCGTGAGCATGCCCATCCCTGTGGGAGGGAAGAGAGGGAAGGAGGCGGCGGGTACCGTGGAAACTTGGGCTCCTGACAACTTGAGGGCTGCCACAGAAATAGCCGCCTCAGTTCCCTGAACCAGAAAGGCAAGTCAGAGGAGAAAAGAGCTGTGGGACCCATGCTAAACTGGACATCTAGCTCATCTTGTCCCCATCAGAGCCAGGACCCCAGTGACAAGGAGCCCTGGGGGGCAGGATGGAACCTGTCCTCATGAAGGAGAATCAGCTGGGCCCTCAAACTGGGCTGTGCAGGGATAGGGTGCCGGGTGTCTCCATCCTGCTCCTCTGTTGATTAAAGAGGCCTGTCCCCTTCTGAAGGGTGGCTGCAAAGATGCTCCGGTATCTTCTCAACTCCTAGGGGCACACTTCATTCTGAGAGCAAGCAGGAGACAGGCCCCATAGACCACAGCAGGGCTGGGATATCTCAGGACCCACCTTGAACAGACTTTTCTAGAAGGGACATTCCCATCTCTGCCCAAGGCTGAAGAAGTCACTGAAATGGGGATGCTCCTGGCATAGGCTTTTCACAACCCCCAATCCCATGAAACCATCTGACTTTTCTGCCCAGTTCACCTTTCGGGGTGGGCCCCACATTTCCCAGCCTCCTGCCAAGTCCCCAAATGCTATCTTGCCATACCTATCTATGCTCATCCTGGAAGGAGCAGATACGGACCTTACTTAGTCATTCGTTCCACCAAGTTGCATAATCTGACTCTAAAAATTGCCAGGCACACGGCTCGCTGTCAGGTCTAATTCCCATCAGGTGAAACAGGAAATGTCCTGGCTAGGGCAATCCTTGTTCCTCCTTCTCAGGGCTGACGAGGGCCTTGGGAGCCTTGCTCGGTGCCCTGCTTGGGGAGGGACCACTCACGGCTCAGCCCTCCCTGGGAGTGGCCAGGTGCCGGTGCAGGAGCGGGTAGGCGCAGGATGGCTTCCCCTCAGCTGCCCCTGCCCAGGGCGCACCCTGCTTCGCTCAGTGACTCACAAACCTGTTGTGCTCCCGGGCTCGTTAGGTAAATGAATACACTTAATTATAGAAATTAGATGACTCTCCGGTTCTGGCAGCAATACAGAGCGCAGAGGCTGGGTGGGAGCGGCAGGTGACTCAGAGGCTGGGCTGGCAGTTTGAGGGAGGGGGGAGAGGGAAGAAAAACTGTCGTGGAAGCAGAAGCAGCAGTGTGGCGAGAGATGCCGAGGCTCGGGGCGCAGATGGGATGTTAAGCTCCACCGCTGGGTGTCGCCCCGGAGAGACGGGCATCCCCGCACCTCAGCGGCCCATCCTGGGGCTCTGACTCTAAGCGCCCCCACCTGCGCCCCGGGTCAGAGCTGGAGAACAGCAGGCCTCTCCTCCCAGGGCGGCACTGCTCCTCTAAGGAGACAAGCCCTCTGGACACCAGCAGCTGCCCCATGGGACAACCTTATTCCTTGCTGGTCTGGGTGTGGGGTGGACAGACAGACAGACATTCAGTTCCAGGTTGTTTGGTTTCTGGTTGAAGGCCACGAGGAATGGAATTGCATTGGCTGTGATTAACGTGGGACCCTGAGGGGGAGGCAGGGCCCAGAGACACAGGTCCTGGGGGCGCAGGCACCTCCGCCCAGGATAGGGGCAGGTGGATGGAAGCCCTGGGGAAAGTCGCCCCCTTGCTCCAGGCTCCAGAGCTGAACATCTGGGGGAGCTGGGTGCTGTGGGGGGGCAGCTCAGGGCCTACCTTCTCCTGCATCCTGCCCGCCTTGCTCAGGCAGCTCCCTCGGGCCCCAGGGGGAAGGAGGGCTGGAGGGCATCAAGTGTGCCTGCTTGTGCACCAGGCCCGGAGGCAAGGAGAGCTGAGGGCGCAGCTATGGGGCCAAGTGTCCGGGTGGTGGGCTGGTGAGGGGGTGGAGGGGGTGGGAGAGCAGGAGCTTTCTCGGAGGGTAGGGCGAGCCGTATCGCGATGCCAGTGGAGACAGCCCCAGACTGGTTCCAGCCGCGCTGGCTATGTTGTTTAGACTCCGGGACTTTTCGCAGCCTTGGTGAAGAAAAGGCACATGGGTCAGAGGGCGTGGCTCCTTGCCTGGGCAGCGCCATGGGATCCATGTTCCAGGGGACCCTGCAGGGCAGGTGCCCCGGCCTGGGTGGAAGGGTCTGGTCCAGCTGGGAACGGCTCCCTGACTTTCTCTGGTCTCTGGGTCACCAGGGCTCCTGAGGACAGACTCCAGGGCCCATACCCAGCTTGCCCTGTCGTTGTCCCCAGGTAAGTTTCCCCATAGCCTCCAGCACCTTCCTTTCTCAACCCTGATGAGCACCTGCCACCTTCTTCCCAGGGAGCTGACACTCTGACACGTGGGCGGCTACAGGCTAACAGCGGGGTCTGCACCGGTGGCTGGAGGAGGCTTGGGCCCACTCACTCCTGGGGCTCAACGTAGCCCGAGTGCAAGCGTGTGGCACGGCCTGGCATGGAGAAAGTTGCCGAGTGCGCACTGGGAGTTTGGCAATGCTAATTGCCACGCTTGCTTAGCAGGGTCTGTTTCCCAGCAACCCACCTGTTCCCTTTCGAAGGTCACTCTAATTGGCTGAGCTACACGCCTGTTGCCAAGAAGCACTGTGGTGGCATCTTGAAAATAGAGCAGCTGGGCCCCACAAGCACCCAGAGAGACACGGTGGTGGGACACAGGCTCCCCAGCCCCATGCACGCACACATGTCACCCTTCCCCAGGTGCGACTCTCCCCCAGCACCTCATGGTCCCTTCTCTGACTCACAGTCTCTTCCACTTTCACGGAGCCCCCGACAACACTTGGATGAAAGCAGGGGTGCTCAGCACTCGGCTGTTTGCTCAATTCCTCCATGGGGGGGCTCCCCCCACCCCACATTCTAGGCTGTCCACTTAGCATACTCCAGCCAGAGCAAGGCTCTGGGTCTGAACCAGGACACAGGGGAAGCCTGCATGTTTGGGGTGAGGGGCAGGAGGGAGAGGCACATCCAGAGCCCAAGAACCGGGGCCCGCAGAAGGGTGATCTGAGAACGCACAAGAGGGTGGAAGTGGTCTGAGCACATCCACCTGCAGCCCTCTAACTGGGGCCTCTGGGCCATCTCCTCCCAGCTGCCAGTTCGCTGCTCCTGTCACCCGACAGGACATATGCCCAGCAAAGCTGGACGTACACCGCTCAGGGCTTGCTTAGGGTCAGGGCATCCTGGGGAATCCCGTGGGAACAGTGGTATTGAGCAGGCCAGGGAAGGGGTCTGGAAGGTGCCCCTGGAGGCTGCATGGGCTGGGCAGCCAGGGGACAGCCCTCAGGGGCCACAGGCATCACAGGCTAGTCCTGCAGCAGCCACCGCCCCTCCTCACTCAACCCAGTCTTGGCCTGGAATTTGGGGGAGCAGGAAGTGGGGGAGGGAGAACTTGGGATCTAAGAAGTGGCCGAAGAACCCAGGAAAGAGCTTCGCTTGGGAAGGAGTCGGGGTTTATCCTGGAGCTGAGCAGGGTGTTCAGGGTGTCACAGGGACAGGACAAGAAAGACAAAAAGGTGATCAGGAACTGGGCAGAAGGAACATCTGGCCCTGACACCCCCGGTTCTCAGCCACTAGTGGTCCTCAACTATCCTTGATATTTCTGCCCCTTTTCAGGACAGGAATCCTGCGCTCCACCGCCCAGCTTCTGCCCTGCCCCTGCTGCAGGCTTGGGGTTGCTGAGGGAACGCCGGCCCTCCTCCACGGAGGGAATCGGCTGCTCCCTTGAACTCTTCAAATCCTTCAGAACACACCTCAGAGGGGATCCACTCTCCCTGCCCACTTCCACCCCACGGTCACCTTCTGGCTCGGCCTCAAGGGGACAGTCACCTCTAGGGGCTTGCAGAGCTGGGTCAGCCCCTCCTGGGCTCCAGGACCCCCAGTGCCGGATGGAGGAGCTGGGGCCTGTGCCAGGCTCTCTGAGGACCTCACAGCAGCACCTTGTTCTTATCCTGCCTCCTGAATGGTGCCGGCATCTCCCGGAACTACTTCCTTGGGGAAGCCTTAGCTGTGTTTAAGGGAGCCTAGGGAGAGGCTGGCAGTGACCCTGTGGAGCCGGGCCTGAAGGTCACAGCAGGAACCAGAGGCAGAGAAGATGATGAAATAGATGCGAGGGGCAGGGGCCCCTGATCTGGTGTCCCCTCACCCTCTAGGAGACCCTGGCGGGATGGGCTCTGTGTACTTTCTGGGGATGCTGGAGGCCTTTCTAATCCAGGGACGGGGAGATCAGTCTCATCCTAAAAGCGGGGGCGTGTCCAAGGCAGAGGAGATGGTGGCCACGGCCTCAGGGGAGGAGGGGACCTCAAGCTTTGTGGGGGACACTGGGGAGACTCAGTTCCATGGGGTCTCCCCACCTGCCCGGCCTGGGGAGCCATACCTTTCCGGACACTACCATCAGCACAGGCATAGTCCCCAGCGCTGAGCAGGAAGCAGGCAGCTGCCTTCTTGTTTCTGTCTCGGGTGCCAGAACGTCGCAGAGCCCGGCGCTCCTCAGGGGACGGGGCGGAGGCCAGGGGCTGCGTGAGGCCAGCTCCCTCCTCGTCTGACAGCACCGCATTGGCATCGCCATTCTGCTTGGAGTCTAGAAGGGGCAGACAGAAAGGAGGCTGCGTGAGGGGCTGCCGGGGTCTTCCTCATGGGGTCCTGGGGTCTTTCAGATCCCAGACCTTGAGTGCCACTTGCCTGACCCAAGGAGGCAGGAGTGTTGCCAGAGCCAGGGAGCGGGCCTGGTCTTGAGGGCAGGATGCTGGCTTCCCTCCTTCCCTTGGCCTACAGTCTTTCTAGAAGACGGGGCCACAGATACCCTAAGCAGCCACTCCCCAAGTCTGCCTGCTGCAGATCAGCCCAGGGCAGGTGGCAGACTCTGCTTTCTCCTTGGGTCTGGCTCAGGCTGACACCTGGATGAGTTTGCATTCCTTGGAGGATGCCCTGCTTGTTGGAGGGAGGTGCGGCACTGCCAGGGTTAAATGGATAGAGCGGCTTCCATGACTGTCTCCCTGGACCACCTGAAGGCAGTTATTCTTGTTCACCAGGCATCCAAGCCGGAGTCGAGCGCTCAAAGGACTCACAGCCCTCTGCTCCTGGGGCTCACCTGTGTCTGGGGAGGACCCTGGGGGGAAGAGTCTCCAATTCAGCTCCTGCTGTTGTGGGCTCTTAGCTCCAACCTCCTGCTCCATCAGGCAGCAGCACAGGTAAAGCTGGGCCCTTGGATCTGGGCTTGGTTTGAGGGAAGTGGCTGTAGCCTTGGCCTGTAATGCCCTTACTGTGGTCAAGCAGGTATGGCCAGGCTAAGGCACGGCTGACCGGGCCATAGGTAGGTATGAATTGAGGAGCCAGCCTAGGGGCGTGTACATTTTGATATTAGGTTTCCCTCTGAGCCCTGAATGGGCCTCGGGGTGCAGCTAAAATTCCCTGGGGCACTGGCTGGGAGATTTATATTTAGGGATTGGGGAAGGGGTACCACTTTGGTGGGGGAGAGGAGAAGAGGCTGACGGGTGCTATTCCATCAAGATCTTTGGGAGACCCAGGCCCCTGCATGACCCCAGAGAATGAGTGGCTGCAGCACATATGGTGGGCATCCACCAACAGACCACGGATGATGTTCTGAGTCAGGCGCTCCTCTGGAGGAGGAGTCCCACTTTGCCTTCAGAGCCTAGCCAGGAGATGCTTCTTACTGTCCGGCCCCACCGGCAGCTCCCCACTGGCCTGGCATCCAACAGCCTTGGACTAGGAATCCTGTGCCTCCCTCAGGAGCCCATCCCTACCTAACAGTCAGGCCCCTACTCTCCAACCCAGCTCCACGCTGCTGTGGGTTAAGTCCATCTCCTTTCCCGTCTCCTAACTCGGGGGGAGGCGAGCTTCCCTGGGGTGGCCTTTCCATCCTTGAAGAAGAGGATTGAGACCCTCGGGCCCTCCCCTTCCAGGAGGCAGACGCCAGCTGCTCTCTTTCCCTTTCCCAACACTGTCTGGGCCACTGCCTCTTGATTCCTTTCCATCCCATGTTAAACCCTGAGCCCAGGACTCAGTCTAGCTTGTGGTGAACAGAAGGCAGCCTCCCACTGCTGTTACGTTATCACATTATTAGGCCAAGAGACACCAGGCTCGAATGTTTGGAAAGAAATGATTCATGTGCTGATGCCCCTTGGAAGAACAACTGCCCCGCTCTCCAGCTAATAATAACAGCACTTGATTTATAAAGTGGTTTTAGCTTCTCAAAGTACTTTCATATCTGTCATTTGGGTCTCATCAAAATCTTGGGGGTGGGATATTGATATCATTCTCATTTTATAGATGAGGCATCTATGCCCAGAGAGGGTGAGTGGCAGGCTTCAGAATACACAGCAGAGTGGCCAAGATGGGATTAGAAAGCCAGGCTTCTAATTTATAGCTCCATGCACTGCCCATCGCAGCCTAAGCTGGGTGGGATACTCACTCCACCCATGTTCAGGAAGGACCCCGAAGTTCAGGAAGCTATCAGACAACCAAGGATAGAGATTCGGCCTTGATACTTTGCCCTCATGAAGGCAGGTCTTGTACTTAGGGCAGCATAGAGAAGTAAAGCACAATCCCAAATTCCAAGGGCTGAGGTTCACCTCGGGACTCCCGTGGCCACTGGGGGAGAGGTGGCATTCCTTCCCACCCCCCAATCTCACCTGCCCGTTTCCTCTCCACCATACCCTCTTCCGGGACAGGCGGGCTGGTGTCACTGTAGGTGCTGTCCCGGGGCGAGGTCTCCTCGGACTTGCAGTAAATGGGCGACTCGAGCTGGGGTGGCCGTGGCACGTGCTTCTTTCGCTTCTTGGGCAGCTTCTGCTTGGCCATGGCCAGGGAGTAGTACATGCCGAAGTTGTTGACAATGACAGGCACTGGCATGGCAATGGTGAGCACGCCGGCCAGTGCACACAGCGCCCCCACCAGCATGCCCGACCATGTCTTGGGGTACATGTCCCCATAGCCCAGGGTTGTCATGGTGACCACGGCCCACCAGAAGCCGATGGGGATGTTCTTGAAGTCGGTGTGGTCGTTGCCCCGTGGATCAGAGGGCCTGGCGCCGATGCGCTCAGCATAATAGATCATGGTGGCGAAGATAAGCACTCCCAGAGCCAGGAAGATGATGAGGAGCAGGAACTCGTTGGTGCTGGCACGCAGGGTGTGGCCCAGCACTCGCAAACCCACAAAGTGGCGCGTGAGCTTGAAGATGCGCAGGATGCGCACGAAGCGCACCACGCGCAGGAAGCCCAGCACGTCTCGGGCCGCCTTGGACGACAGGCCGCTCAGCCCCACCTCCAGGTAGAAGGGCAGGATGGCCACGAAGTCGATGATGTTGAGCAGGTTCTTGACGAAGTCCAGCGTGTCGGGGCAGCACACAATGCGCACCAGGAACTCCAGTGTGAACCACAGCACGCACACGCCCTCGATGTAGGTCAGGATGGGCTCTGTCTCCACCTCCCGCCGGAAGCGCACGCTGGTGGTATTCCCCACTCGGTGGATCTCCGTCACGTTGCGGTCGATGTTGAAGGCCTCGTGGGTCTCCAGGCAGAAGGTGGTGATGGAGACCAGGATGAAGAAGAGAGAGGCAAAGGCCACCACCTGTGGGCGGGGAGGAGCGTGGGGGCAGCTGTCAGACAGGGATGGATAGGCCCAGCGAGGACAGGGACTTCTGCTGGGGGAGCGTGGGGCATGGGTCACCAGGCAGTCAGTTCCATGGTGAGAGATGTGACTAAGGTGCACACTCAGGGGCTGAAATTCCCTCCTCGCAGGGCCTTTATCCTTCTGCTTGCATGCACCGTGCACAGGAGCCAGAGGCTGCTCTTGGCTGGAAGCAACTGGACAGGGAGCTACAGCTGCCCAGCCATGCCTACTGCCTAGCTCTGGCCACCACTACCCCAGTTGTGCTTTAAAGCTTCTCAAACTGTAATGGGTTTATAAATCATCTGGGAATCTTGTTAAAATGCGATTCGGATTCAGGCGGTTGAGGGCAGGGCCTGTGATTCTCCATTTCTAACAAGCTCTCAGGGAGGCTGCCGTCCACAGACCACGCGGTGCAACTAGGCTTTAAAGCGGTACTCCTCAGAGAGGCCCTGGACCAGCAGAGTCGGCATCACCTGGGAACTAGTTAGAATGGCCAACTCTCGGGCCCCACCCAAACCTACTGAAGGAGAGACGCTGGGGGCAGGGCCGGCAGTCCGTTTCAGCAAATCTTCCAGGTAATTCTGATGCACACTAAATGTTCAGGTGACTGCACTAAGGGATATGCCCAGAGGCGGGGGGCTGGAGGGAATGACCCTGGGCCTCTTTCTGCCGCTGAGCCTATTAAGCTCCAGCCACGAGCCACCTCGTCAAGTCCCAGCCCCTCTCTCCGGCCTCTCACCTCAGCCTGTCCCAGCTGACCGCCCAGACGGAGAGAAGCGTCAGAAAGAAGACAACATGCTCTGCGGCAGGAAGCAGGGTGGTTTGCCCAGAGTAACCACCCCTCCCCGTCCTGAGAACTGACATTTCCTGGGACACTGAGTTCCAGAGAGAAGTAAACTGCACCCATTGGGATCAGAGAGTGACAGCAACTGCTCCAGACAGCCGCCGGGATCGCGGCTGGAAAGATGACAGCGGCACTCGGCAGACGAACGGCTGGGCTGAAGTGTCCGACTGTTATGAATGGAGACGAAAGGCACGTGTAATAACACCAATTATGGAGCCCTCATCTGTTATTCATGAGATCCATTCACCACCATCAGCGGACCAGTTGCTGGGGTCCACGCCCCCTGCTGCTGCCTGTCCTGCTTGGTGGGTGGAGGGTTTCCTTCCTGAGCAGAGGGCTGAGCCTAAAAGGTGGATGAGGGAGGATTGAGGCCCCACGGCCACTTGGCAACCCCACGCCTGCCCCACCCCAATGTCCACCTGGCCATGACGTTGCCTGTTGGACTAGGCCTCTGAGACGTCTTCCTCCCCGGGAGTCTTCACTGGTGGCAGGAGGGAGAGGGGGGACCCACGACCAAACACCTTACTCTTAGTACAAAACAGCAGTGGAGAATACAGGGGATCTGAGAAAACAAAGCAAGCAGCACCTCCAGGAGCTCCTTCGGGAGCAGGGCAATTCTGAAGAGGAAACTTTGGGAATGAACATTCCTGAGTTGTCTATTCTGTGCCTGGCACAGTTGGGCACTCTGTATGTTACTGCCTTCAGTCCTCCCAGTGACCCTGTGAGGTAGGCCTCGTCATCCCATTTTACAAAAGAGGAACTGAGGATCAGAGAGGTTATATACTTCCCTAAAGTCACACAGCCTGAAAGGGGTGGAAACAGACTTGAACTCAGCACTGTTTAATTCAGAGGCTGTACCTTCTCTTCACACCACATTGTCTTCACTACCTCCCAGGCAGGGTCTATTCACAGGTTGAAGAAAGCCTTCCCTGAATTGTGGACACTGCTCCCAGCCAGCTCCTTGATGCCTGCTAGTTCACGCTAGGGATGTGCACCTTTGGTTTAGGACAGACACCCGTCACACACTAAGACTTATCTTATTTACAGTTGAACATGGACGTGTTGATCGGATACGGCACAGGAGGAGGAGGGAGTAGTGGACCACAGACACACTCTCCCCACTTGACAACTTTGCCTGGAACCTCTCCTGCCTCTGTCTCCCCCGTGAAGGCCAATTGAAGTTCCTTTCCCAGCCTCATTTTTCCTCCCCTGAGCCATGGGCTGTTAAGGCAATACAGGCTGACCTGGGCATCAGGCAGACGGCCCCAGCCTGTGAGCTCTCCTTGGCTGTCCGGAGATGAGCTGGGGGAGGCACCCGTCCGGTGGCCGTGTTGACACTGGGAACCCAGAGTCCTGGCAATGCCCCCCTTCTCCCTGAGAAGCAGAGGGGGCTGGAGTAAGGCATGGGGACAGCATATCCCAGCTCTGCCTGGAAGCTTGGGAAGCAGGAGCTTGCCCACTCCGAGGAAAAGTTAGCCAGGAGAGTTGCCCCAACTGGGAGCCTGAGTGAGAAGTTAATTAGTGATTTGGAAAAACAAGTTCAGGAAGAACTGCCAAGGGGCTCAGCCCAGGGCACAGAGAGCGGGAGTGGGAGGGAGAATCGTGCGGCCTGGGCCACTGTCTCACCTGCAGGGCCAAGGAGCCTGCCTCTGGTCCTGCCTCGGTGCCTTCCCAGCTCCCATGGCCCACAGCTCTGTCTGCGGAGGCCCCGTAGGCACATGCCACCTCTCCTGAATTCCTGCAGTCTGCACTCACTTTTGCTTTTTCTTTTAAACACAGAACTGCCCCATCTCTTTACTTCTACCCCTCACCTCCACCATTTCAAAAGAAGAGGCCAGGCAGAGGGTAGCCACATGTGCTCATTTCTCAGGGGCAACAGAGGCACGAGAGAGGGCAAACGACTCGCTCAGGACCAAACTGAGGCTGAGTCTCCTGCCTCTCTGCTCAGTGCTCTTCCCGCTTGGCCCTCTAACCAAACCAGTTGGAAAATCCACTCCTCCTTGAGGAACTTGCATGGGGCCTCCATCCCCCCTGCAGCCTCTCCAGGGCTGGCAGCAGGCGCCAGGCAGACCTGAGGCTGAGCTGTGATGGATGCAGGGGAGTGGGCTCTGGCATGTTGCCCCAGGTGGGTCCCAAGGTTACAGGTCCCCCTTCAGGGCCCAAATTATTCCTTTCCTCCCTAAGTTATTCCTCAAACTGAATTGTTGTGGAAGTGGTGCCCCTGCCTGTAATCAGTGCCTGTCACCATCATGGATGCTTTCCTTCTCGCAGCTCTCTAGACTGGGACACTTCCCGGGCAAAGAAGGGCCCAGGGAGGACGCGCTGGCTGCAGCACACCACCCTGCTTAGTGGTCACGGCCTCGCTCCCGTTCAGCAACCACCTGCAGCACCGGCAGTGCGCATCTGAGCCTCCTTCCCTTCGGCCATGGGCACCTGGCCCTGCCGAGGGGACTGTGGGGCCTCAGGGGAGCCAGAGACCAGAGCAAAGGCAAGCTACGGAGCCCTGGAGTCAGACTGCCCAGCTGCCTCATCCTGGGCCTGCCCCTTGACCAGGTAAATGGTGCGCTCTGTGCCTGTTCCTCGCTACAAAACAGGGACAGTTCTAGAACCCACCTAGTAGTGTTACTACAGGATTAAACGAGCATCTACACAGCAAGCACCCAGCACACAGTAGTGCTCACGTGGTGACAGAGCTGAGGAGGTGTGGGGCCTCTGTGGACCCCTGCATGCAGTTTCTGAAGGCAAGCTGGATCTGGAGCCAATAATATCAGAAAATCCTTGCTTTTTAGAAGTGAAAGGAACTCTGAAGATCATGCAGTTCAGCTCCCTTCCTGCTGTTTCACAGGTGAGGAAACTGAGGCCTGGGGAGGACTGGCTTGCCTGGTGCCCATGGCCGAAGCTGTGCGTTCTTTCCACTGCCCGGGGACACAGGTTGTGGATTCTGCCCCAAGTCAAAGCTGCCCAGGTGGAAAAGTGCTTGCGTGAACGGGTTCCGCCAGCAGCAACTCCTTTCCTGTCTGCTGGGAGGAGGTGGGAGGGTCTCGGCACCTGGACAGCAGGTTCCCAGCCTCTGTGCAGGGCAGCGCTGCTCCTTCAAGCTTCCTGCTCCTTGGGCCCCTCATGTGGCCAGCGGTATCCTGCTCAGGACCACCATCCCCAGAGACCCAGGAGTGTCAGCTGATGTGTCCGCCCTGTGACCAGCCTCCTGCACCAAGCTCATCCTACAACTGTCCTTGGTGGAAATGTAGTCACACACTTCCGGGTGCAAGTCAGGCTCTGCTACTTACTGCCTGGGAGACCTTGGGCAAGTTTCTTAACCTCTCTGAGCCTTAGGATCTTTGCTCATAAAATGGAAAAGTGAGTACCTGCTACATGCCAGACATAGTTCTGGGTGTTGGGGAACACTGGGAAACAAAACACACCCCCTGCCCCTCAGACCTCATATTCTAGTGGAGGGAGACTGTCAACAAGTAAACAAGGAAAATAGATAGTATGACAAATGGTATAAGGATTACGGAGAAAAATAAAGAGAAAAGGGGGATAAGGAGTCGGAGGGTGGGGGAGATATTTCACATAGGGGGGTCAGGCAGGGCCTCAAGGCTAAGGAGACATCTAAGCAGAGACCTGAAGGAGGGAGGAGGTGAGTCATGTGAAGATCCAGAAGAGCTTGAGGGACAGAGGGAACGGGAAGTGCAAAGGCCCTGAGGCCACAGCATGCTTGGTGTGTTGAGGGATGAGAGCAGTACCTACCTTATAGGGTCGTTTTGAGGATTAAAATAAATGATATTTGCAAAACTCAGCTCAGAGCCTAGAGTGTCTCAGGAATCTGGCACAGGCTGGGTGGGGGGGCTGGGGGGGGAGAGGTGACAGACACCAGTCATTGGGAACTGAATACAATCAGCGGGGGCAGGGCGGGGAGCCCAAGGAGGAAGGGCCAAGGAGACAGATGGACAGATAAACATAAGAAGACTCATGCCCAAAAACCTATATTAAGGATGAAGTGTAGGAGAAGAGAAATTTGAGAACACAGCCAAAGACACTTGCAGAGGAAGCTCTGTGGGGATGGGACGAGGAGCGAAGCCTTCCAGGGAAGCGAGATCCTGGTGCCCAGGAA